CCCTCTTTTTGGCCATTTTAATGACTTTTTTAAAATAAGAATTTTCCACCAAGGTAATGATTGGTGACGTGGTATTTCCTTTAGCCAAAGTGCCTCGAGGAAACCGGTTGGGAAAGTGGGTAATAAGTGAAACCAACAGGTTCGTGTTGCTTCATGCCTTTCGTAAAACCGAACACGTCTGGCGAGATGCCGCCCACCCCGCACCGCCGCACTCGCTTCGAATATGGGTTAAGGGGTCTTGAACATGGATGTTTACTACTGTTTGGATTTAATTCTGTTTACGTATCTGTATATTTTAAGGTATAAGATTCCGAAGCAGTCTGCACAGGCGCAGAAAATGCCATATGTGCGATTCACAGGGACCACGACGGGGAAACCATAACAATACTGCTTGGAGACCTCCTGTGCCCGGGTGGCGTTCCTTATTTACTGTCTTGGTTGTGGTGTTTTTCAATAATCTATATAAATCAAAATGTAATGTTCGTTTGTGGGATTAACAGAACTCAAAAACCACTGGATGAATTGGTGCCAAATTTGGACACTATACCCCTAACAGACCGAGTGACCGTAACTCATAACCGCCCCCCCCCCAAAAAAAAACAGCAAAAAGCACTTAAGACCCCCAAAAAGCTAAATGACGATGCAGAAAAAAGAAAAGGAAGGAAGGAAGGAGGAGAGAAAGAAAGAAAGAAAGAAAGAAAGAAAGAAAGAAAGAAAAGAAAGAAAGAAAGGAAAGAAAGAGAAAGAGGGAGAGAAAAAAGAAGGAAAGAGAGAAGGAAGGAAAGTTAGAGAAGGAAAGGAAGGAAGAAGGAAAGAAAAAAAGGGAAAAGAAAGAGGAGGAAAGAGGGAGGGAAAGAAGGGGAGAAAGAGAGGAGGGAAGGAAGAGAAGAAAGGAAGAAAAAGAAAAGGAAGGAAGGGAGGAAGGAAAGAAAGAGGGAGTGAAGGAAGGAGTGAAAGAAGGAGAGAAAAGGGGAGGAAAGGAAAGAGAGAAGAAAGGATGGTAGCAAAAAACGAAGGAAGGAAGTAGAGAAGGAAGAAATGAGAGAGAAAAGAGCTAAAGAAAAAGGGGTGAAGGAAGGAAGGAAAGGTAGAGAAGGAGAGAAAGAAAAAAGGAAAGGAAGGAAAGAAGGGAAAAAGGAAGGAAGGAAGAAAAGGAGGAAGAGAGGAAGGAAAGAGGTAGGGAAGGAAGAAATGAGAAAGAAGAAAATAAAGAAAAGGGGAAGGAAGGAAAGGTAAGGAAGAAGAAGGAAGGAAAGAAAAAGGAAGAAAGGAAGAAAGAGGAGTGAAGGAAGGAGAGGAAAAGAAGGAGAGAAAGGGAGGGAAAAAGAAGGAAGAGAAGGAAGGATGGAAGCAAAAAGCGAAGGAAGGAAGGAAGAAGGTAGAGAAGGAAGAAAGGAGAGAAAGAAGAAGAAAAGAAGGGGAGAAGGAAAGAGGTAGAGAAGAAGGAAGGAGAGAAAGAAGAAAAAGGAAAGAGAAAGAGGGAGTGAAGGAAGGAGGGAAAGAAGGAGAGAAAAGGGAGGGAAGGAAAGAGAGAAGGATGGAAGCAAAAAACGAAGGAAGGAAGTAGGGAAGGAAGAAATGAAAAAAAGAGCTAGAGAAAAAGGGGGAAGGAAGAAAAGGTAGAGAAAGACGGAAGGAGAGAAGGAAAGGTAAAAAGGGAAGGAAGGAAAGGGAAAGAAGGAAGGGGAAGGGAAGGGAAAGGAAGGAAAGGAAGAGAGGGAAGAGGAGGAAGAAGAAAGAGAGAGAAGGAAAAAAAAAGGGGGAAGGAAAGAAAGAGGTAGAGAAGGAAGGAGAGAAGGAAAGAAAAATGAAGGAAAGGAAGGAAAGAGGGAGTGAAGAAAGATAAAAGAAAAGATAAAGGGACGGGAAGAAAGGAAAGAGGTAGAGATGGAAGGAAGGAGAGAAGGAAAGAAAAAAGAGAAGGAAGAAAGGAGAGAAAGATAAAAGAAAAGATAAAGGGACGGGAAGAAAGGAAAGAGGTAGAGATGGAAGGAAGGAGAGAAGGAAAGAAAAAAGAGAAGGAAGAAAGGAGAGAAAGATAAAGGGACGGGAAGAAAGGAAAGAGGTAGAGATGGAAGGAAGGAGAGAACGAAAGAAAAGGGAAGGAAGAAAGGAGAGAAAGATAAAGGGAAAGATAAAGGGAGGGGAAGGAAGGAAAGAGGTAGAGATGGAAGGAAGGAGAGAAGGAAAGAAAAAGGGAAGGAAGAAAGAGGAGAAGGAAGAAGAAGAAGAGGAAGAGGAGAAAGAGGGAGGGAAGGAAGGAAGGAATGGAAGGAAGGAAGGAAGGAAGGAAGGAAGGAAGGAAGAAAGAGAAAGGAGAGGGAAGAAAGAAAGAAGGAAAGGAAGGAAAGGGGGGAAGGAAGGAAAGGTAGAGAAGGAAGGAAGGAGAGAAAGAAAGAAAAAAGAGAAGGAAGGAAAGAGGGAGTGTAGGAAGGAAGGAAAGAAGGAGAGAAAGATGGAGGGAAGGAAAGAGAGAAGAAAGGATGGAAGCAAAAAACGAAGGAAGGAAGGGAGGAAGGAAAGAAAGAGGGAAAGAGGTAGGAAAGGAAGGAATGAGAAAGAAGAATATAAAGAAAAGTGGGAAGGAAGGAAAGGTAGAGAAGGAAGGAAGAAGAGAAAGAAAGAAAAAAGGGAGGGACGGAAAGAGGGAGGAAGGAAGGAGAGAGAGAGAAAGGAGAGAAAGAAGGAAGGGAAGGAAAGAGAGAAGAAAGGATGGAAGCAAAAAGTGAAGGAAGGAAGGAAGGAGGGAAAGAGGTAGGGAAGGAAGAAATGAGAGGAAGAGGAAGATAAAGAAAAGGGGGAAGGAAGGAAGGTAGAGAAGGAAGGAAGGAGAGAAAGAAAGAAAAAAGAGAAGGAAGGAAAGAGGGAGTGTAGGAAGGAAGGAAAGAAGGAGAGAAAGATGGAGGGAAGGAAAGAGAGAAGAAAGGATGGAAGCAAAAAACGAAGGAAGGAAGGAAGGAAGGAAGGAAGGAAGGAAGGAAGGAAGGAAGAGAGAGGATGAAATGAGAGAAGAAAAAGAGAGAAAAAAGGGAGGGGAAGGAAGGAAAGATGGGATTGTTGTTGATTTTATCCTTGTTGTAAACCACGTTGAGTCGCCGATCAGGCTGAGAAACGGCGGTATACAAGTATAAGAAATAATAATAATAATAATAATAATAATAATAATAATAATAATAGTTTGCATTTATTTCACGCTTGTGGTCTCATCGTGTGTTGGAACCATTATGAGATACTTAGTGACTGACACCCAACTTTTGTGGCTGAGAGAGTGTGACTTGTTTCAAGGCCACCATAGGCTGACGGGCCAAGGAAGACGCAAGGCACACGGAGGCAGAAGTCGGAGGTTTATTTGGTCTCGTTTCACAGGTTTGGGCCCAAATCCCGCAGGACGGCAAGCGGGCTGGAAACAGTTGGCTCCCTTCTCGCGTGTTGCGGAAGTGGGACACCGGAAGTGTTGCGGAAGCCGGGCGCACGGAACGATTGTTTTCAAGTAGCAGAGGAAGACGGGAAACACAGTAGAACGGCACGTCCAAAGTGCTTGCGGTGGCTGCCGGCGGTCGGGAGATGCCGACCCAAAGAGCTGTTTCGGATCAAGCGTGAACCCAACCCACCCCCCAACCCCGAGTCTGGCCATCTGTCGGGAGTGCTTTGACGGTGTCCCTCTGCATGGAAGAGGGGATCAGTCTAGATCCCCTCTTTGGGGGTCCCTTCCCAACGCTGGAAGTGTGGTCCTCTGGAAATCTGTCCAGAGTGCTTTGATGGACTCCTACTGAAGGGACCAGACTAGCTGACCTTTGGGGATCCCTTCCCAACCCTAAGTGGTTGACTGGCTATCTGTCGGGAGTGCTTTGATGGACCCCCTCCTGAAGGGATGACCTTTGGGGGTCCTTTCCCAACACTAAGTAGTCCTCTGGCCATCTGTCGAGAATGCTTTGATGGAGCAGACTAGGCAACTTTTGGGGGTCCCTTCCCAACTCTAAGTGGTTGCCTGGTCATCTGTCAGGAGTGCTTTGACGGTGTCCCTCTGCACGGAAGAGGGGACCAGACTAGACGAGCTTTGGGGGTCCCTTCCCAACACTAAGTAGTCCTCTGGCCATCTGTCGAGAATGCTTTGATGGAGCAGACTAGGCAACATTTGGGGGTCCCTTCCCAACTCTAAGTGGTCGACCGGCCATCTCTCAGGAGTGCTTTGATGGACCCCCTCCTGAAGGGACCAGACAAGGTGACATTTGGAAGTCCCTTCCCAACTCTAAGTGGCCATTTGGCCATCTGTTGAGAGTGCTTTGATGAAACCCTCCTGAAGGGAGCAAACTAGCTGAACTTTGGGGGTCCCTTCTCAACTCAAAGTGGTCTGGCTATCTGTTGAGAGTGCTTTGATGGAACCCTCCTGAAGGGAGCAAACTAGCCAACCATTGGGGGTCCCTTCTCATCTCAAAGTGGTTTGGCTATCTGTCAGGAGTGCTTTGATGAACCCCTCTTGAAGGGATGACCTTTGGGGGTCCCTTCTCAACTCAAAGTGGTCTGACTATCTGTCAGGAGTGCTTTGACGGACCCCTCTTGGAGCAGACTAGATGACCTTTGAGGGTCCCTTCCCAACTCGCTCGGCAGCCAAGGAACAGTCGTCGACAAAAGTAGCAACGGAGTGCGGAGAAGGCACAAAAAGGGACGGGCGAGGAGAATAGCTGCCGGTTGGGGAATGCTTCCCCTGAGATCGGAAGGGAAAGATGATTGATCGACAACAGGTCAGTGTCTGCGAGAAACACCCCCCCCCCCTTTCCTGCCTCGCTCGGTATCACAGAACTACTTTTCCGCACTGCAACGGGGTGTCACATCCTGGAACGAGCAGCGGAGAAAAGGGAGTCGAGATGGTTATGGCAAGACGTTGATGGCTCTCCCCGTCTGGGAGTCGCCCCGTTCCCCTTCTCGTCCCATCGCAGTTCAAGACTTCCCCAACGAAAGATGCACCTATGTGCCATTTTTGAAAGTTATTGTAGAGTCGGGACTTCCTCCTCGGCTCTCTTTCACTTGGGGGTCCACCAAGCCGGGGCGGCCGCGGCGGGCTCCTCTTTGGGCGGCAATTGGGACGCGACCTGGAACGGGTCGCAAGCCGGGAAGCCCCCTTCGCCAGCAAACGGGTCGGGCGCCGCAGCGGCGAAGGGGTTGTTGGCACTTTGGGGGGCGTTGGACCCACGTGCCCGAAGGCGGGGGGATGGGACCGGTGAGGCCCGGGGTCCCGAAGACACAAAACTCCAAGGGTCGATGCGGTTGCGGACGGGAGACGGGCGAGGTCGGGAGATGAGGGCGGCGTGGGGGGACGGGCGTGGCGAACGGGGGCTCCGGGGCGACGACGGGGAAGGAAGGGCGCCGTCTGCAACAACGAGAAAAACAACAGGATCAATATGAGGTCGGGAATCCTGCCGACTACGCCAAAAATGTCACGAATACTTTTGGAACACACACAACAAAAACAACAGGATCAATAAGAGGTCGGGAATCCTGCCGACTACGCCAAAAATGTCACAAATACTTTTAGAACACACACAACAAAATCACAAAACAAGACGGTGGGATTAATCATAAATGCAAAGATAAGCTGCTGTGAGTTCACACTCGAATGCGAAAAAAACCGAAAAATAGTAAATAAAAAAATAATAGAACGCAAAAATATTAAAATAAAGAATGAAATAAAATAAAAGATTAAAACATAAAATAAAAATAGAAAAATAAAAGAATGAAAGAATGAAATAGAAAAGATTAAAACAAAAGAACGAAAAAATAGCACAAAAATAAAATGCAAAATATTAAAGGAACAGAATGAAATAAAAAAAATTAAAATAAAAGAATAAAATAAAAATAAAAATGCAAAAATATTAAAATAAAGAATGAAATAAAATAAAAGTAGAAAATAAAAGAATAAAATAGAAAAGGTTAATCATAAATGCAAAGATAAGCTGCTGTGACTTCATACTCGAATGGGAAAGAAAAAAAAGAAAGAATATAGTAAATAAAATAAAAATAATTAAATTAAATTAAATTAAAAATGCAAAACTATTAAAATATTAAAATAAATAATGAAATGGAAGTAGAAAATAAAAAAGAAAAGATTAATCATAAATGCAAAGATAAGCTGCTGTGACTTCACAGAAAACAGGAAAAAATAGGAAATAAAATAAAATAAAAATAAAATAATGAAATAAAATAAAAATGTAAAAATATTAAAATAAAGAATTAAATGAAATAAAAGTAGAAAATAAAAGAATAAAATAGAATAGATTAATCATAAATGCCAAGATAAGCTGCTGTGACTTCACACTCAAATGGGAAAGAAAAAAGAAAGAAAATAGTAAATAAAAAAATAATAGAACGCAAAAATATTAAAATAAAGAATGAAAGAAAATAAAAGTAGAAGATAAAAGAATAAAATAAAAAAGATTAAAACATAAAATAAAAATAGAAAAATAAAAGAATAAAAGAATGAAATAGAAAAGATTAAAAGAAAAGAATGAAAAAATAGCAAAAAATAAAATAAAATGCAAAATATTAAAGGAACAGAATGAAATAAAATAAAAATAATAAAATGCAAAAATATTAAAATAAAGAATGAAAGAAAATAAAAGTAGAAGATAAAAGAATAAAATAGAAAAGATTAAAACATAAAATTAAAAAAATAGAAAATAAAAAACAAAAGAATGAAAAAATAGCAAAAAATAAAATGCAACATATAAAAGTAACAGAATGAAGTAAAATAAATAAAATAAAAATAAAATAATGAAATAAAATAAAAATAATAGAATGCAAAATTATTAAAATAAAGAATGAAATGAAATAAAAGTAGAAAATAAAATAATAAAATAGAAAAAATTAAAACATAAAATAAAATAAAAATAGAAAATAAAAGAATAAAAGAATGAAATAGAAAAGATTAAAACAAAAGGATGAAAAAATAGTAAAAAATAAAATACAAAATATTAAAGTAAAGAATGAAATAAAATAAAAGTAGAAAATAAAAGAATGAAATAGAAAAGATTAAAACAAAAAATAAAATAAAAATACAAAATAAAAGAATAAAAGAATGAAATAGAAAAGATTAAAACAAAAGGATGAAAAAATAGCAAAAAATAATAAAATGCAAAATATTAAAACAAAAGAATGAAAAAATAATAGAAGAGAAAAGAATAAAATAGAAAAGATTAAAATAAAAGAATGAAATAAAAAATAAAATACAAAATTAAAATAACAAAATAAAAAATAACATGGTAAATCACATAATAAAACACAAAATATTAAAAGAAAATAATGCAAATTGAGTAAAGATTAAAACATAAAATAAAATAAAAATAGAAAAGAAGAAAGTAGAAAAGATTAAAACAAAAGGATGAAAAAATAGCAAAAAGATAATAAAATGCAAAATATTAAGACAAAAGAATGAAAAAAATAGAAAAAAGAATAAAATAGAAAATATTAAAATCAAAAATGAAATAAAAAATAAAATACTAAATACTAAAATAACAACATAAAAAACAACACGGTAAATAACATAATAAAACAAAAAATATTAAAACAAAACAAAAATGCAGTAATGAGTAAAAATAAAACAAAATACAAAATATAATAAAATGAATTAAATAAATAAAACAAAACAATAAATAAATAAATAAAAATAGGAAATGAAATAATAAAATGTGCAAAACACTAATATAAAATAATGACACAAAACAGAAAAAATATAATAATAAAATGAATAAAATAAATAAAATAAAATAATGAAACAAGACGCCATCAAAGCCGTCTAGACAGATGGCCATCCAGGCTCATAGATATTTCCAATTTTATGTAGAAGGAAGGCTGCAGAGCTAGAGAATCCTCGAACTGGAACCCCATTTAGTCACAATCAAAGCCCCCCCCCCCCCGACAGATGGCCATCCCAGAAAGCAGGCTCTGGGCACTCACCCCATTTCTGTGCCTTGTTGTTGCTGCCACGTCCCTCCACGAGCCTGGGGACCTTGGGCGACGTCTGGGCCCAAAGCGGAGGCGAGTCCAGGTCGACGAGGAGGTCGGTGGGGGGCTCTTCTGGGCAGGGTTCCACCTGCAAAGCCGGAGGAGGAGGAGGAGGAGGAGGAGGAGGAGAGGGGTCCTTCTGCGGGGAAGGGGGCTCCTGGGGGCTGGAGGGCAGATCTCGGCCCAAGCCCAGCGAGGCCAGGAGGGCACTGCCCCGCAGCAACGCCCGGTGCAGGAGGCGTGGGGTGGCCGAGGAGGCAGAGGAGGAGGAGGAAGGGGAGCGTTCCGGGACCGGATCCTCTGTTTCCGGGCTTTGGAGAAGGACGGTGCCTGTTGGGACAAGGAAACCGGGGCAAGCCTTTAGCAGGGACCGAACCTATCAGCCCATAAACCCATTAGATGAGCAGGTGGATCCTTTTTGGAACACCGTCCTCCACTGGGTAATAATAATACTACGAATAATACTAATATTAATAATTAATTAATATGAATAGTTAATAGTTAATGCTAATAATTACTACTACTACTACTACTACTAATAAATTAATACTAATTATTAATAATTAATGCAGATAATAATTACTAATAATCTAATAAAACTAATAATAATAAATACTAAAATAATTACTAATAATACTACTAATAATACTAGTAATTCATAATTAATAATAATAATTACTAATAATAATACTAATAATATTACGACTAATTAATACTAATAATAATTAATGCAGGTAATAATTACTAATAATACCAATAAAACTACTATTAATAATAATAAATGCTAAAAATAATTACTACTACTAATAATACTAATCATACTAATACTATTAATAATTAACACTAATAATTAATAATTAATGTTAATAATAATAACTAATAATAATACTAATAATTACTAATAATACTAATCATACTAGTACTAATAATTAATTAATACTAATAATTAATAATTAACACTAACAATAATTACTACTACTACTACTAATACTAATAAATAATAATGCTCTGCAAAATCCACACTTGCTTGAAACAGACAAGGGTCCTTTCTCCCACCCTGGACATTATTCCACAGGGAGATATACACTCCACTTGCTACTTCTATGCAGGTACCCTCACTGATTGACTTTGCAAAGTTCATGGCTACTCAATGCTATTCAAGCTTGCTCACTGCAACATCCACACTTGCTTTTATCTGACAAGGGTTCGTCCTCCCACCCTGGACATTATTCCACAGGTATATATACGCTGTACTTGCTATCTCTATGCAGGTACCCTCACTGATTGACTTTGCAGCTTCATGTCTATTCAATCTGGACGAAACTTGCTATGACACTAGCACACATTGACCACTCTAAGTTCCTCAAGTTTCGGAACGTTTCGCTCATCCACTAATTTTTAGGAAATTTCTAAAGTTTTCACAAACAACAGAAAACATTGCAATCGTTTTTCATTGACTCAACCGATCCAACATAATTTGTGCCACGAAAACAAAGTTTCTGGAGCATAACGACCACTACTTTCAAAGTAAGAACCGCACAATTAAACAGGAAACAACACTTTCAAACCGGGAACGCAAAATGTAGCTGGACGACAACCAAAGCACACACCGTTTGGGCTGGGCTGGGTCTGGGTCAGCGCAGGGATTGGCAATGGCTCCGCTTCCAAGTACCACGTCGTTTCTTCCAATCGCGATCGCCTCCTGGAATGGGGCAGAGTCCACCCAAAAGTGGAGGAACCACAGAATCAGAAGGGACCCCAAAGGCCATTCGGCCCAACCCCATTCTCCCATGAAGGAGGACACCATCAAAACCCTCCCAACAGATGGCCATGCGGCTCTGCGATCATAGAATCCATGATCATAGAATCATCCTACAATGATGGGACAAGGAGGGAGTCTGCAATTTCAGCCCCACAATTTGGGGAACAGCCAAGACAGAGATTCCGAAAAAAGTTACATTAGATATTATATCGCAATAAGACTTTCACTTTATATATATATATATGTAGTTTATATTACATATAGTATATATTATACTATATTAGTGTACTATTATATTATATTATATTATATATTACATTATTATTATTATTATTATTTCATTTCCTATTTGATTTATTTACTATTTTATTTATTATATACCAGCTTGGGCACCTGGCATTGCCCGAGTTATTTGATTATATTACATTACTTTACAATACATTATAATATATTATTATATTATTATTATTATTATTATTATTATTATTATTATTATTATTATTATTTCCTATTTGATTTATTTACTATTTATTATATACCAGATTGGGGACCTGGCATTGCCCGGGTTATTTGATTACATTACTTTACATTACATTACATTACATTTATTTATTTATTTTATTTAAATAAAATATAAACTACATTACATTATAATATATTATTATTATTATTTCATTTTCTATTTGATTTATTTACTATTTTATTTATTATAGACCAGCTTGGGCACCAGGCGTTGCTCGGTTTATTTGATTATATTACATTACTTTACAATACATTATAATATCTTATATTATTATTATTATTACTATTATTATTTCATTTCCTGTTTGATTTACTTACAATTTGTTTTATTATACACCAGCTTGGGCACCCAGTGTTACCCTGGTTATTTGATTACATTACTTTACATTATATTATTATATTATATTACATTACATTATCATTATTTCATTTCCTATTTGACTTATTTACTATTTATTATATACTAGCATGGGTGCCCGGCATTGCCCAGGTTATTTGTTTACATTACTTTACTTTACTTTACTTTACTTTACTTTACTTTACATTACATTACATTACTATACTATACTATACTATACTATACTACATTACATTACATTACATTACATTACATTACATTATTATTATTATTTCATTTCCTATTTGATTTATTCACTGTTTCATTTATTATATACCAGCTTGGGCACCCGGTATTGCCTGGGTTATTAATTACATTACTTTACTTTACTTTACATTACATTACATTACATTATTATATTATATATTACATTATATTATTATTATTACTATTATATTTCCTATTTGATTTATTCACTATTTCATTTATTCTATACCAGCTTGGGCACCTGGCATTGTCTGGGTTATTTGATTACATTACATTACATTACAATATATTATCTTATATTATTATTATATTATATATTACATTATATTATTATTATTTCATTTCCTATTTGATTTATTCACTATTTCATTTATTATATACCAGCTTGGGCACCCGGCATTGTCTGGGTTATTTGATTACATTACTTTACATAATAATATATTATATTATTATATTACAATTATATTATATATTACTTATTATTATTATTTCATTTCCTATTTGATTTATTCACTATTTCATTTATTATATACCAGCACCCAGCGTTGCCCGGGTTATTTAATTACATTACTTTACATTATATTATATTTATTATATTAATATTTATTATTATTGTATTGTCGAAGGCTTTCATGGCTGGAATCACTAGGTTCTTGTGGGTTTTTCGGGCTATAGAGCCATGTTCTAGAGGCATTTCTCCTGACGTTTCACCTGCATCTATGGCAAGCATCCTCAGAGGTAGTGAGGTCTGTTGGAATTAGGACAATGGGTTTATATATCTGTGGAATGGCTGTTGTGGGGCAAGGAGCTCTTCCCTGCTGCAGTTAGGTGTGAATGTTTCAACTGATCACCTTCATTAGCATTTGAAGGCCTGCCTGAGCCTGGGAAAATCTGTTGCTGGGAGGTGTTAATCTGTGCCTGGTTGTTTCCTCTCTGTTGTTTAGCTGTTATAATTTTAGAGTTTTTTAATACTGGTAGCCAGATTTTGTTAATTTTCATGGTCTCTTCCTTTCTGTTGAAATTGTCCACATGCTTGTGGATTTCAATGGCTTCTCTGTGTAGTCTGACATGGTGGTTGTTGGTGTGGTCCAGCATTTCTGTGTTCTCAAATAATATGCTGTGTCCAGGCTGGTTCATCAGGTGCTCTGCTATGGGCTGACTTCTCTGGTTGAAGTAGTCTGCAGTGCCTTTCATGTTCCTTGATGCGTGTCTGGGCACTGCGTTTGGTGGTCCCTATGTAGACTTGTCCACAGCTGCATGGTACACTGGTAGACTCCTGCAGAGGTGAGAGGATCCCTCTTGTCCTTTGCTGAACGGAGCATTTGTTGGATTTTCTTGGTGGGTTTGTAGATAGTTTGTATGTTGTGTTTCCTCATCAGCTTCCCTATGCGATCAGTGGTTCCCTTGATGTATGGCAGGAACACTTTTCCTCTGGGTGGATCTTCATCTTTACTCTCGTGGCTTGTTCTCGGTCTTGCAGCTCTTCTGATGTCTGAGGTGGAGTCTCCATTGGCCTGGAGAGCCCAGTTGAGGTGGTTCAGTTCATCTTGGAGGATTGGCAGACCGTGCAAAAAGAATCTGCAAACCCCACCTCCTCCAAGATGAACTGAACCACCTCAACTGGGCTCTCCAGGCCAATGGAGACTCCACCTCAGACATCAGAAGAGCTGCAAGACCAAGAACAAGCCACGAGAGTAAGATGAAGATCCACCCAGAGGAAAAGTGTTCCTGCCATACATCAAGGGAACCACTGACCGCATAGGGAAGCTGATGAGGAAACACAACATACAAACTATCTACAGACCCACCAAGAAAATCCAACAAATGCTACGTTCAGAAAAGGACAAGAGGGATCCTCTCACCTCTGCAGGAGTCTACCGTATACCATGCAGCTGTGGACAAGTCTACATAGGGACCACCAAACGCAGCAGCCCAGACACGCATCAAGGAACATGAAAGGCACTGCAGACTACTTCAACCAGAGAAGTCAGCCATAGCAGAGCACCTGATGAACCAACCTGGACACAGCATATTATTTGAGAACACAGAAATGACTGGACCACACCAACAACCACCATGTCAGACTACACAGAGAAGCCATTGAAATCCACAAGCATGTGGACAATTTCAACAGAAAGGAAGAGACCATGAAAATGAACAAAATCTGGCTACCAGTATTAAAAAACTCTAAAATTATAACAGCTAAACAACAGAGAGGAAAAACCAGGCACAGATTAACACCTCCCAGCAACAGATTTTCCCAGGCTCAGGCAGGCCTTCAAATGCTAATGAAGGTGATCAGCTTTATTATTATTATTTCATTGCTTATTTGATTTATTCAGTATTTGATTTATTATTATCATATCATATAATATTATTATAAAATAATATATTATTATTATATTATTGTATTATATTATATTGCATTACATTTCTTGCCTTGCCCAAAAAGGCAAGAAATGGGGTAGGAGTGGGGTAGGGGGAAAAGGAAGGGGTGCCCCTTACCTGCCATTCTGTGTGATGCCGTCCCACGGTTTTGGGGAGCCCGGGCTCTTTGTGCGTCCGTTCCAGGTCTCATCCCCTCCTCGTCGGGGCGACTGCCGCCCCCAATTCTGGTCGTTTTCGCTTGGCTCCACTGCGGTTGGGAGAGAAGGAAATAGATATTACTAAACAACACCTTCCAAGGCGTACAAAGGCAGTCTATGCACAGAGATGGAAGGAACCGTTATCCCAATGCAAGAAAATTTGTGAATGACGAAGTACTTTCTGGTCATGCCTCATTCTGTTAAATTAAATTAAAATAAAATAATAATGAATCACAAAATAATAAAATAAAATCATGAGAAATAAAATATTAAAGTAAAACAAAATATTAAAATAAGAATTAAAAATAACTAAAATGACAAAACACAAAATGTGAAAAACAAAAAAATGAAATGAAATAAAAATACTAATAAATAAAATACTAAAATACAAAGTATTAAAATAAAATAAGAAATAAAACAAAAAAGTAAATAAATAAATAAAATAATGAGAAATAAAATATAAAAATAAAATAAAAAAATGGACAAAATAACAAAAAAATTAAAATAAAATAAGAATTAAAAATAACTAAAATGACAAAATACAAAATGTGAAAAACAAAAAAATGTAATGAAATAAAAAATACTAAAATACAAAGTATTAAAATAAAATAAGAAATAAAACAAAATAGTAAATAAAATAATAAAATAAAATAATGAGATATATTAAAATAAAATAGTAAATATTAAAACAATGAAATAAAATAATGAATAAAATAACAAAATAAAAAATATAAAATAAATGAAAATGAAATACAAAATAAAACAAAATAGTAAATAAAATAATTGGATTAAAAAAATAAAATAGTAAATATTAAAACAATGAAATAAAATAAGAAATAAAAATAAGAAATAACTAAAATGACAAAATACAAAATGTGAAAAACAAAAAAATGAAAAGAAACAAAAAATACTAATAATAAATAAAATACTAAAACACAAAGTATTAAAATAAAATAAGAAAGAAAACAAAATAGGTAAATAATAAAATAAAATAATATAATGAGAGAAAATAAAATAGTAAATATTAAAACAACAGAAGAAAATAATGAATAAAATAACAAAATACAAAATATTAAAATAAAACAATGGAATAAAATAAGAAATAAAAACAAGAAATAACTAAAATGACAAAATACAAAATGTGAAAAACAAAAAAATGAAATGAAACAAAAAATAGTAATAAATAAAATACTAAAATACTAAGTTTTAAAATAAAATAAGAAATAAAACAAAATAGTAAATAATAAAATAAAATGACATAAAATAAAATAGTAAATATTAAAACAATGAAATAAAACAATGAATAGAATAACAAAATAGAAAATATTAAAATAAAATAATGGAATAAACAAAGAAATAAAAATAAAATAGCAAAACAATAAACTAGAATGGAATAAAAAACGAAATAAAAATAAAACAGTAAATAAAATGACAAAATACAAAAAAGTTAAAACAAAATACAGTAATACATAAAATAGTAATTATAAAATATTCAAATAGGAAATATTAAAATAAAATAAAAAATAAAA